ATTTGCTGATTTTGACTTTAAAAAGCGATTGGAATCATACATAAATCACACTTACATCATAGATCAGTGGAGACATTTTATTATTATTACTATTTAGTTTTTCTTTAGTTATTTTTCCGTTACATTTGAGTATGACAGGTGAGGCTCTGCCTCCCCTGACTGCACGTCGCTGATGTCAACAGTGCAAAGCAAGCTTATTTATATAACACCTTTCTACACAAGGCAATTAAAATTGCTTTACAAAAATTAAAACATAAAAATAGTGCAGCAGAAAAACATTATAAAATGGCCTTTAAAAACAGTCATTAAAAAACTAAAATAATAAAATAAACATAGAAAATATATTAATAAAAGATACAGTGCAGTGTGAGATATGAATATTTCAATTAAAAGCTGCACCAAAAGAAAAGTCTTCAGCCTGGATTTAAAAGTAGTGAGAGTTGCAGCGGACCCGCGGGTTTCTGGGAGTTTGTTCCAGATATTTGGAGCATAGTAACTGCTTTTCCACATTTAGTTCTGACTCTGGGGACAGAAAGCAGGCCTAAGAGATCAGAATGGTTCATCATTTAGCAGGAGATCAGGAATGTATTTTTGCCCTAAACCATTCAATGCTTTATAAAGCTGCAGCAGTGTTATGAAATCAATTATTTGACAGACAGGAAGCTAGTCTTCAGATTAATCACGGCTGCTGTGCACTCAACGGAAATATCAATTGCCTCCGTTTGCATCCTTATTGTTCACAGTACCAAATCATTACAGACTAAATTAATTCCTAAATCAACCCAATAAACCTACTGATGGCTTCAATCCGAAAACAATAGGCTACAGCGGTACTTAACTTACATTTGTAAAGTGCTGTTTCACCAGAGCAACTGCTAATGTAACTTTCCATCCCCATACAAAGCTATGATGGCGACCGATAAGAGTGCAGTGTCCAGCACTCTTCGCTCAGCTTTCCGACCATTTTCAGTACACCATCCGAGTACTAGTAGTGAGAATGCACGTATGAACTGATAATTGAAAGTGTAAATGGGATGTTCCCAAATTAGTTATGCTAGAAGCTCTGTGAGGCTGTACTGAGGCCTAGCATTCTAACATGTAAATGATGTTTAGATGGCTAAACTAGTCCACTACCACTCGTGGACTTGTTTTTGTTTTTATCAGCTCTAAGAGTTTCAGCAGTTTGGTTTGCATTTTTTCATATTCTATCTAGACCTTGCGTTAGTTTCTCATTGGCTTTTTGAATAACTTGTGACTGTTAATTTAGTTTGTAAAGATCTAGTAGATGGGTTTGGTACCACTTTTGGCTCACTAGCAGCAAACTCTCACTCAGATTCTCTCTCATGTACTGAAATTCTGCATCATTTTGTTTAACTTCTCACACAAATCCGACATTGATTTGGTCGCTAGCTTTAATCTAGCCATCCTAAACTCAGTAGTATAGTCTGCCCCTATTTATTTGTAGCTTGTGTCCAGGCATTGGACATTGCACCTTTAATCAAAAATAGATAGCAATATTTACCTATTCTAATCAGTGTCCACATTTTAAACTTTTGCAGTTGGTTGGAAATGTTATTTACAGTCTTTCAGAGCAAGGTATGTATAATAGTCATCCTGTGTCTTTGTTCTCTGCTTTACAGTCTTGGAGCTCTTGTAGGTCTCTCTGTTGCAGCTGTGGTTCTTCTGGCCTTCATCGTCACTCTGTGTGTCCTCTGCTATCTGTTCATCACCACTAAACCCAGAGGTCTGGACAATGGGCTGCCACTCAGAGCTCCAGGTATTTACCGCTGCTCCGTTTCTCTGCAGGAGGCATGACGCTAAAATCTCAATAAAACCCTGAAGGTTTTGAAAGAAATTACCTTTCAGAGTTCCAAGCTTGTTATTCCCTTCTTAAAACTGACTGCTAATACATTCAATGCTCTTTTTTCAATTTGTCAAATGTCATCAGCAAAAATGGAAAAGTAATGGAATAATAGATAGGAGAACAGTGAAATAACCAATTCTCACAAAATTGTCTTTAAATAAAAGAATGCCAGAAACATTAGGTACTGTATATACTGTATAGCAGAGGGGGAGCATTTGGGCCGTTATATGTCATCTAAATAGGTTAGAAATGGACAGTAAGAAAACTGCTGCTTTGTTTAAAAGTAATAATATAGGGTAAATCTGAAGTATTTGACTTTTAAACAATCTCAATTAAAATCTCTGCACCCCAAGTACACCCACATGTATTTTCCTATTATGTTTAATGAGATTGTGCGGGCGTGTTTCACAATTTAATTCTGTGTGACCGGCGAAGCCACACACAGTATAGTATTCAACATATTTATTAGTGGAATGCTGTTTACTGTATACTTATTCTTCCGCATCTTTTTCTTATTTCAACAAAACGTTTGGCTCTCAATAACTTCAGCATACTTTCAGCTACAGAAACCATTCAAATATCAAAATATTCAGCCTTTTCAGCAGATGATGGGAAACTTTCTCAAAATATTTTATACTTTTTGAAATATTCAGCTTTATAAAAAAAATGTTAACACGTAACTCAATGGGAGGAACCTTCCAATCCTCTTTTGCCTACACCTTGCGCCAAATGCTACTCCACATATTCTTTCAGCTAGAGACTTCATTCCAACTTTTAAACGGTCACAAGACATTCAGCTATTGACCTTTTATTCAGATTGTTTATATCTTTTACACTTTTTGAGATATTTAACTTAGTTTGGAGCTTGTTAAAGAGGCCTTCTTCAGAGTTTAACATGAGTGTGTATTGAGCAGCTCGTTAAGGCTTAGAGTGTGTGATGCCACAGCTAGAGTGGAGGAGAGCTTGGAATTCACCTTCATTTTTCTTTTAAATCTGCCATAATTCCCAAACCCTACACTCCTGGGACATAATTGTATGCTTGAATTGTAGCAAAAGCTCTCCTAGGTTTAAAAAAAATAATAATTAAGCAAAACATTTTAACAAAATGCCTCTTGAGGGCATGACGTGACACAAACTTTCAACATGTCTCCATTAAGGCCCATTGTAAATTCAGCCTGATCTTTCCTCAGAGCACCAACCGCACAGCTTTAGTTAATCTGCCAAAAAAGCCACATTATTGACCAGAAAGTACACAAAAAGCAGACTGAGACGCTCCTTAGGATCCTGAGGTGCTCCACACTTTGAAATTTCACCGATATCTGATACGGTTCTTCAACAAAACCTTTAAATGTAAGAGGTTTATCTCTCATTCTGTCACGCTCCTGGGTTCATGTCACGGTTGTAGTTTTGGGTGTTTTTGCTGTTTTCCATGTCATGTTTTCCTCTGGGTTATTGTCTGGTCCTTTTCCCTGTGTTTTTCCTCTTGTCATTAGTTCCCTGGTGTGTCTAGTTATCTGATTGTGTTCACCTGGGCCCCTGTGTTTCCTCCTCCCTCCTCACCTGTGTCTTGTTGTGTGATTAGTCTTTTGTGTATTTAAGTTCTGGGTTTTCTGTCTGTCTTTGTCGGTTCGTCTTGTGTATTGACTTGGTCTGCGGTGAGTGTTCTGTTCAGTCTTTGTTAAATAGTTTAGCCTTGAAATAAAGGAGTTATTTTTGTCACTTTAATCTGCATTTGGGTCCTGCTTCCTACACACACCGTGACAGAACGAACCGACCAAAAATGGACCCAGCAGATGATCCATGGGAGGTAGAATTACAGCATTTTACCTTCTATCTGGCTTGCTGTTTCGATTGGTGGAAGGGAGCGTCCAGTGTTCGGCAGAAGAGGGCCGCTCTGGTAGAGGCGCACCGGTTGGCAGCAGAGAAACCATGTTTTGTTGAAGCTCAGAGGGAGAGCTCGATGGAAGAGCTCGCTCCTCTACAGAGCTCTCCTCGAGCTTTCCCAGAGCTCTCCATCGCTCTCCATCGAGCTCTCCTCTGAACTCTCCCTTGACCTCTCCTCGACTCTCCGTGTGAACTCTCTCCTGACTCTACCGCAGAGATCTCCCTGAGCTCTCCACTGAGCTCTCCAACTGAGCTCTCCCTTGAGCTCTCCGGCTGAACTATTCACAGAACCTTTCCTGTCGTGAGCTCTCCGCTGAACTCTTCGCGGGTTCTCTCCTTGACTCTCCCCTGAACTCTCACTGAACACAGCCGGCATACGGCTGTCCTGTGCCGTGACACGCAGCCGCCTGTCGGTTGTCCTCTGCTCCACGAACTCAGCCTGTCATGCAGCTGTCTGTGCCGATCGACCGCAAGCCTGCCTGTCGGTTGTCCTCTGCTCCACGACCTCAGCCGCATGCTGCTGTCCTGGTGTCCTTCGTACCGCAGCGGCCTCTGCTCCCCGACCTCAGCTTTGGTACCGACGCACCCCGGCCTTGACTCAGACCTTGGTACCGACGACCCCGTCGCCCCGGTTGGTACCGACGACCCCGGTCTTGACTCCGGCCTTGGTACCGTGACGCCCGCGGTCTTGACCTCCGACCTGGTACCGAGAGTCCCGGACATGACCTCGCTTCGGTACGACAACCCGGTCTTGAACCCCGACCTTGTACCGACACACCCAGCACCAAGACATCGGCCTTGGTACCGACAACCGAGCCCGACGATCGGACGGAACGCTGAGGGAAGAGAATCGTCGGCGGACTTTATGAGGCACCTGGAGGTATTCGGTCTCCTACAGGCTTTATGCTGAGGACCTGTACTCGTCCTTGACCCCGTCTTCGTGCCCAACTGAAGTCTGCCTTTGGGTGCTCCGAGTCCCACGGTCCAACCCTTTACCCTCTGTCACCTCAATCGTACGGACTCAGATCCGTCCGACCCTTAGTAGTACAAACTCTCCTCTTCAGGTTTTAGGTCAGT